AAGAGTTAGATAGGAAAAGATTAGGGGAAAGATTCACCTTGCTTAGGATTTGGAGACAATCTACCATTGGACGGAGGAAAGTTGCTCGCCAATAGCTTCAGCAAGTGTGAAGACGATCCTCTCCACGTAATCCTCGGTTTGGTTAACCTTGAGGTTGAGGTCGAAGAAAGGGGAGTTGAGAATGTCTATGTCACGACCCGGCCCGGTTAGCTCGCAAGGGCGAGGCGGGAACAGAGGTCGGACAGGATGAAGATAAACTTTCAAATCATAACATTAAATCATTTAACATAAACCAAACATCTTCAACTATATAATGAAAGAGCCACTAAAGTAAATCCAAATAAGTTTTCATTTCTCATTCATCTCAAAAGAATCATATACATAAAGAGTTTTTTTTCATAAGAGAGGATCCAAAATAAATCTAACTCTCACAAAAATCTACAAACAACCATCTAACAACAAAAATAACAAAACTCAAAAGAACCTGCCGCCCGTTGTCTCCCTACGACGGTAAGTGCGCGGTGGTCGGTCTGTCATCTATCCTTTCCTAGATCCTCCTGAAAAGTGTTCCCACAACGAGGGTGAGTCATAAACTCAATAGGTTTGAAGGGGAATTCAAATAAACTTAGAATCAAAGAAGAAAAACTATATCATGCTTGGATATTTTAACAAAAGAAACATCAACTTAAAGAAACTTTTGCTTAGAGGAAGTGCATACCTTTACCTCAACTTTCAAGTGCTTTTTTCTTCATAACATTTTCATTTTTCCTTTAACATTTTGCCTCATATGATAGTCTCAAATATATAACATGAATATGAAATGTTCTTAATAGTTTAACATGTAAATATAACACCCGTCTCGGGAGTACCACTTGTACTGATCAGGTATATAAAATTTGGCCATTTCCTTTACCATTGGTTCATAGGAACCATCATTTACCATGGCTCATAAGAGCCTCCTTTACCAAGTGATACTCCCGCGTCAACATGCACATACACTTATTACATATATAACCATAAGAGATGCTTTATGTAAATTATTCATAAACTAAACAAGTGTTTGTTTCCTTAGGGATATGCATGCTTGATATGCTCAAGTGTGCCTTTGCATGTAAAGAGGAGAGACATGTATAGTAAGAGTAGAGAAATGAGCATGGGATCCATTCATGAATTATACATTTGCATAAAAAGAACCTTTGCATTTGCCTCAAGTGTCCATGAACTTTCGAGGGAACAAGAGCCATATGAGTTTCATAATAAGCATAAAAGAATTTATCATTTCTATGCAATTGCAATAAAAGAAGAATTAACTAAATTTACAAGAACTTCCATTCCACCTACCTCAATCCGTGCACCTCTTTCTTTGTCCGATCAAACTCTTTCCCTCCACACGATTTATATCTAAAAGAGACATACAACGAAAAGCATAAGTGACTAATCCTTATATAATATCCTAAACCCTAATTCTAAAGTAATAAAAGGGTTTTTCTAATGTCTTGTTTATGTTCCAATTCAAGCCCTTCACACTAAATCATGATATCTCTCAAACACAATCTCTCTCAATTATGGTTTAGTCCAATTCCTTAGGTTTTAAGCATGCAACACCTTTCCCTACCCTCAAAACATAATTAAAATAAAAACAATTTTCGAAATTTATGAAATAAAAAAATTAGAAAATATAGTTTTTCAAGCAAAACCCATGTATTTGCCTCTAAAATCCTCCCAACAACCAATGAAAACCATAGAGATCAAAAATTCCTTAATTAGGGAAAACCCTAAATTCCTAAACTCAAAAATTTCGTCATACATTCAATATTTTTCCATTAGAAGCTTTCTTAGGTTAATAGAAATCTCATTTGTGAAGATATTTCAAAAAAAAAAAATTTTGAGCAAAACCCTAATTTCCTAAATTTCATATTTTTCAAGAAAACACTACCCATTAGGGTTTAAAAACTTCCCCTAACCATTCCCTAAACTTTTCTCAAAGGAACCTTAAAGAAAACTCAAGTTTTCCTAAAACCCTAATTTCATTCTTTTAGAGAAAACTCATGAAAAAGGAAGGGAAACACTTGCACAACACATACCTTAGTCTTCCCTTGAATTTCCCTACGAGATCCTCCACAAACGGCCGCCGGAAAACACCTCTAAGCCTTGCCGGAATCGCCTCTTACCCGCGCCCCGTTCTCCCTTTCGCGTTCGGTTCGACCGATTCGCGTGAAATGCTGAGGGAGGGGGTTCGGGTATAGTAGATAAGGGAGAAAAGGGGATATGCCAAAAGACTCATATGCCCTTACTTAAATAGATTTGGCTTAAGAAACACTTAGGGGTAGAATTAGCATTTAGAAACTTCCAAATTTTATAATTCTCAAAATACTCATAATCCGATATGGGTTCTATACATCAGAACGTTCAGAATTTTGCGCTCTAATTTATAAAATTATTCTCGTCGAAATCCGACAACTTCAAAATTTTTACTTAAAACTCATCGCGGCGCTTTGAAAAGCGTGCGAGGTCTTTAAACGACATTTTGCAGGTTTTACAGTCTACGTGGCCTTGGTCGTCGTAAACGAATCCGTGGTTAAGTTCCGGATCCGCCATGCATGTGGGAACAAAAGTTTTTGGTGTGATGGAACTTTCGGGCTGCAAACGATGATCTCCCAACCGGCTGGACAGCAAGGAAACATGCAGAATTTTTCTGGGAAGCCATCAAACGACGTCCAGAAAATCTGGACAACAAATTGGAAACCAAGAATTGGGGTTTAGGAGTTGTATTGGGCGAGAGGAAGGGATGGAGAAAGTAGGAGGGGTCGGCGATTAATGGGGAAAAGGGAAAGGAACTTTCCAAAAATCTGAAAATAATTTCAGATTTTTGGTTTGGAGGGATTTGGGTTTGTAATTTGAATTTCAAACAATAGGAAAGGAAGGAAGTTACTCCTTAATGAGAGAATAGATTGAGGTATTTAGAAGGAAGGGAGTTAATGTGGGGAGAGGGAGATATAGGGAGAGGGGGCCAGCGACTTGGTAAGTATGGTATGGTTTAGGGAAGAGGAATTAAGGCTTGCTTTAATTTGAGTCTTAATTTAGGAAGAGTTAATTTAAATCAAATCCAATTAGAAATTTAATTGGATCTAATTTTAAGTAACTTTCCTAAAATAGGAATTCTTATTTAGGAAATACATTCAAATTCAAATTTGTTTGAATTTTGAATTCAAATTTGTCACCAAATTAAGAAGGTTAAAATAGGAAGGGCTTTAAATGCTAGAAGAAATTTGTGGAGCCAATGGAAGATGGAGGTGGCCGGCATCTAGGTGGGGAATAGGGTTAGGGTTGGGCTTGATGTTGTTGGGGGGTTTAGGTTGGTTTAGCCGTGGGTTGAGGGAAGGGGTTCTAGGTGACCGACGACTAGGAGGAGGTGTGTCGTTGGCCGGTGGTTAGGAAGGGCTTTGGGGGGGGGGTCAAGGTGAAAAGCCTGATGTCTTCATCACAAGGCTAGGTATGGAGAAAACAAGAAGAAAGTAACTAAGAGTCCGAACGCTTCCTGCGACTGGTGGGTGATCCGATTCCCTCGCCTAGGGATTTCTCTCCGAAGCTCTCACAAAACTCATGGATGCAGAAATTTTCATAATAATAATTAATTCATTAACCCTTGAAAAAGTTGGGGAAGGCTTTAAATATCCTAAACAATAAATAAAATACAAAAGACTCAATTGCCCCTAGGGCATACATATGACTAGGCCCACTAGTAACAATACACAAGGGCATAAACATAAAAGTACAATAAACTCATGAAACATAATAAAATAATAAATCTAATACAATGATAATCAAAAGTAGATCGGTGTGATCATGGCCGTAGATCGTCGGTCCCACCTCTAGTTAACTCTCCAAGGCCTGATGTCTTCATCACAATGCTAGGTATGGAGAAAACAAGAAGAAAGTAACTAAGAGTCCGAACGCTTCCTGCGACTGGTGGGTGATCCGATTCCCTCGCCTAGGGATTTCTCTCCGAAGCTCTCACAAAACTCATGGATGCAGAAATTTTCATAATAATAATTAATTCATTAACCCTTGAAAAAGTTGGGGAAGGCTTTATATACCCTAAACAATAAACAAAATACAAAAGACTCAATTGCCCCTAGGGCATACATATGACTAGGCCCACTAGTAACAATAAACAAGGGCATAAACAGAAAAGTACAATAAACTCATTAAACATAATAAAATAATAAATCTAATACAATGATAATCAAAAGTAGATCGGTGTGATCGTGGCCGTAGATCGTCGGTCCCACCTCTAGTTAACTCTCCAAGGCTTGATGTCTTCATCACAATGCTAGGTATGTTTAGGAATCTTTTTGCAGTAAATTATTGGTTTTTTTGGTCCTTCTCTGGCTTTCTTATTTTCCATGCACTATGGACGTGCAACCCTCCAGGAGTTAATAATACCATGAAAGCTTTTCGGATGAGTATCACTCAACATCATGTTTTGGAATTATACCTGTGAGCATTTTCTTCGTAGCAATCTACATTGTAATCCATCTAAAGAGCAATCAAAGTTTGTAATTCTATTGCATTATCATTTGGTGATTACTATTTATTTATTGTAATATTATTCAGATTGTCAGAACTCAGGTTTGAGGGCCTAGCCGTAACAAAATCAGTGGCCAATTGCAGTCAAGTAATCAAGTTTCTGCTAGAGTAAAGCTATACATTGTCATATCATCATTTTGTAATGCCGTAGTTTCAGTATCTTTGGTTACATGTCTGATGCCGTCCTAACCTTTATGTTTTATACGCCCATATTCTTACCCGCCTGCTTCCCTAGTTCAACTAACAGTTTTTGTTTAACATGTTTCTTAGTTTCGAATCTTGTATGACTTGGTTTATACATTCATTTGCAAAACTTTTAGTAATATGAAAAAGTTATTTATTGATTTGTCTAGATTCTTGAAATGACCTTAGGCTTCTAATTCATAGCGTCTCCCCTGATAACAATGCAGGAAAGTCTTCCAAGCTCTTCTACCTGTCATTTCAAATCATATCTTGTTGGAATGGGGTTTTCATCGATTCTTGTTGACAAAGTGATTGAAGAAAATGGTAGGTTTATAAATTTATTACATGTTCACCTCTTTGTGTGAAGCACTGAGTTCTTTTTGTTTTTTAAAATCAAACTTTCCATTGTAGCATATTTTACTGCTAATTTTCTTGATTTTTGTAATTGTATAATAAATTATACTTCTTTTATTATATCTAGGGGAGGATGATGTAAATATTCTATTGGAAGCCCTTCTTGCTCAGTCCGTAAGTGATAGTAAATCATTTAGAATCTTGAATTTGTGTAAGTTAAAGTTTAGTCCAATGCAAACCTTAACACCTGTTTATACATCATTTGGCCATTCTTAGGTTCTTTTAGTAATCATGCATCGTGTTTACTCTGTTGCATTATATCTCTATTTGAATAATACTCTGTCATTCTACAATGTAAAAAAAAGCAAATGGGCATTAGAAAGGATATTTCTCAAGAAAGCTGTACAAAATAAAATATAATTTCCCAGAAAGAACAACTGATTTGATTCATTTAGATGGGATGAAGGCCGTTGTTAGGGATGATATTTGCTTGTTAGATGTTGAATAACGAAGTGGTTATGAACTATTGGTAACTATGGAAAAGTAGATTACCAATGGTAGCCAAGAGGTACTCATTGGGATGAATTTATTTATCGAGTGGACAGAGTGGAGATGGCTCAGCCAAGTGGAGTGTGTGATGAATTTGTCGCTTAGGGGAAGACTTAATAATTTTAGGGTTTGTAGGAAATGGGAGAAGAGATTCATGACCTATGGAATGTTGTAGAAGTGAATTAGGGTTTTGATGCAAGTGGAAACCGAGTGATAGTTGAACTAGGAATTGACAGGGTGGATGAAGATGATTGATGGAGAACAATCAAAAGTTGACAATGACCATATAATTTCTCATCAAGGTGGTTTGACCATGTATTTTCTTATTTCAGTTGGATTACATCATGTATTTACTTTAAACTCATATCTTTTTGCTTTAGTCATGGATGTTCTTACTAGACATTTGCAAGAGGATGTATCCTTGTGTATGCTTTTTTGCTGTTGATATTTTTTTTGCTAATAAGTCTAGTGAGGGATTTGAGGGGAAACTTAAATAATGGAGGTCAACCTTAGAGTCTGAAGATTTTAGTTTGAGTAGATCTATAACCAAATGAGTCTCAGCACGCTGCCGGCCAGGGCGACAACGAGGGCCTGGGCACGCTCTCAGTCAGGGCCAGGGCCCGCTGGTAGCCAGGGCCTTAGTACGTTAGCAGCCATGGACTTCGCAAGGGGCCATCCAGGGCCTTTGCATGCTGCCAGCCAGAGCTGGCAGCCAAGGCTTGGGCACGCTGGCAGCCATGCCCTAGGCACGCTTGCTGCCAGCAAGTCAAGCACTGGGCACGCTGGCTGCACGAACTGCCGCACGTCTGATTATTCTTTCGCAACCAACAATCGTAGGCACAAGCGACATGTCGCTTCATTTATTAGCGGATACATTTTATCCTGTATGCATCAAGATACATAAGCCATGGGCACGTTGGCAAGTAGGGTCTCGAAATGTTGGCAAGCAGGGCTGAGGCACACTTACAACTTCCACGTAAGGGCCAATAGCACGGTGGCTTTGAGGGACAATTATGATGTGTAACTTGGCACATCTGATTATTTTTTCGCAACCAACAATCGAAGGCACAGGCAGCATGTCATTTCATTTTTTCACAACCAACAATCGAAGGCACATGCAACAAATGAAAGGGCTGCTATATTTATGGTTGGCCATGCAAAGTACCCACCAATCAATTGAAGCAGAGTATACGACAACTCATGTGCCAATACGGTTTCAAGCACTTAGAGTGTAATTTAAGTAGTAATATATCTAGTGGGGGATTGTGACTTTGGGCAATCAAGTCATTAAAAAGAGTATACGTTTTAGAAACTTCAAGTCTATTGTTCAAAGTGATGGTGAAATATATGGGGATATTATTAGTAGAATTAATGTTGGATGGTTGAAATAGAGGAATGCATCGTGCTTGTTGTGTGATAGAAAAGTACCCCTCAAACTTAAGGGAAAATCCTATAAGATGGTGATGAGACCTGCAATGCTTTATGGCGTAGAATATTGACCATTAAAAGATAAGCATAAACAGAGAAGTTTTTCTTAGAAGTTGATATTCAACAAAGGTGGATGAGATATTTTGCTAAACTTTTTAATGAAGAATGTGATAATACGGTTGACTTTAGTGACCTTAGGACCCTAAATTAAAATAAAGATTTCTGTTTTTATCGGCGTATTAATAAAACTAAAGTTAGAGAAGCTTTGAAGAAAATGAAGTGGAAAAACTGTTGGACCTGATGATATTCCAATAGAGGTGTGGAAATGCTTAGGAGATGAAGGAATTTCTGGGCTTACTAAACTTTTTAATAATGTTTTGAAGACTAAAAAGATGACGGATGAGTGAAGAATGAGTGTGTTAATTCATATTTTTAAGAATAAAGGTGATGCACAAGATTGTGCGAATTATAGAGGAATTAAGTTAACGTGTCATACTTTAAAACTATGGGAGCGAGTTATGGAGAATGGGTTGCGGCGTGATACTAATGTTTCTCAAAATCAAATTGGATTCATGCCGAGTAGGTGTACTATGGAATCCATACATTTATTGAGAGGTTTGATGGAGAAATATAGAGAGAATAAGGAGGATCTACATATGATATTTATTGATTTAGAGAAAGTGTATGATAAAGTTCCAAGAGAAGTGCTATGGAGAGTTCTTGAAAAGAAAGGAGTTAATAATACTTATATTCAAATCATTAAAGATATGTATGCAGGAGCTATTACTTGTGTTCAAACACAAGGTGGTTTGACCAAGTATTTTCCTATTTCGGTTAGAGTACATCAAGGATCAGCCTTAAGCCCATATCTTTTTGCTTTAGTCATGGATGTTCTCACTAAACATTTGCAAGAGGATGTGACTTGGTTTATGCTTTTTGCTGATGATATTCTTCTTGTTGATAAGACTAGAGAGGGAGTTGAAGATAAACATGAGTTATGGAGGTCAATCTTAGAGTCTAAAGGCTTGTTGTTGTTGTTGTTATTCAATTTGTCCATGGTTAGCTACCAAATAACTTCATATGTAAACCATTGAAAATGGTAGAGACTTGACGTCCACGCCCAAGCAGATGAGGGGCTGAGCATTGGGACTTAGAAAGGAACCATCCAAACTATGATGGGGAAAAATGAGTATAACAATGGGTTAATGAAGGTGGTTGGAGAGGTGTTGGAAAGAAGCAAAATAGGCAAAAGGAGAGGGACATAAAGGAGGTTGTTGTCATCTATGACCCTGATGAAATGATGTCGTTTATTTTTGTTATCTCTAGCATGTAATTATATGATTCTCTTCTATAGTTCTGTTGAAATGAAGATGTGTAATACATAGTTATGTTTGGATCCAAAACTTTTAGATTCTACTACTTACATTCAGGTAGCTTATGCTAATGAAACAAGGGAGTTATATTTATCAATTTTATGAGGTTCTCCACCATGGAAAGAAATTAGACTTCTAAGGCAGGGCCTTAGCTCAACTCTTTTGAGAAAATATTTATTAACAGAGGATAGTGATAGGAAATACTTGAGTTCGCAAGAATCCCCAAGGGAAATACTTGAGTTCGCAAGCAAATCTATCACTAAGTGGAGAAAACAGCGAGAATGATGCAAAATCTGGGTGGAAAAACAGCCCCAAACGATGGATTGCAATGAGAAAATCAAGCCAAACAAAGACAGGGCAAGATACAAGAGATACTCAATTCGAGAGGAGGATCGTTCTCTCCCAAATCTCTAGAAAAGCAATCTGAGCCCAAACACCCAAGAACTCAAGAGAACACAAACATTCAACATGAGAAAACTCCCTCCAACCAGCCCCCTTACTAATACAAATCATTTCCTAGTTTCAAGTATCTCACATTCAAATTTTCCCTCTCAAACTAGCCTCCCAAAACCCCTTCTCCCCGTTGCTTCAAATGGGCGGTAACATTAAAGGGGGCCGACCCCACCAGTCCGCCTTTTGTAAATCTGAACATGCCTAACAATGCTGCCCTCCCAAAGAATCACATTGTCCTCAAGGTGAAAACTAGGAAACTAGCGCTTCACCCTTTCATATGATTCCCACGTGGTTTCATAATCAGGCAGATTCTTCCACTTGATTAACACTTGGCTCCATCTTCTTTCTGCCCCCCCCATTAATTCTAAGGGTTCCATAATCACCTCCAAGTCCTCAGTAAGTGTTGCTGGTAACTTCGAGCTGGCTGTGTAATCTCCAATGGCTCTTCTCAGCTGCGACACATAGAAAACCAGATGAATAGTCGCTGTGGGTGGTAGTTGCAATTGATATGCTACCACTCCAATTTTGTCAATTATTACATAGGGTCCAAAGTATCTTGGAGCGAGCTTTTCATTTATCCTGTTGGCAACTATTTTTTGTCGATATGGTCGGAGCTTTAAGAACACCCTCTCTCCTACTTCGAACTAGATGTCCTTCCTATACCCATAAGCTTGTTTCTTCATATTTTGTTAAGCTCTCAGTAGATGCTTCTTCAATTCCTCTAACACTCGATCTCTCTTCTCCAAGTACTCCTCCACTGAAGAAACTGGAGTACTGCTACTTCCAAAGTGCACCAAGTGAGGAGGGTCCCTTCCGTACAACACCTTGAATGGAGTCATCTGTGAATCCGAGTGAAACGAGGTATTGTACCAGTACTCCGCCCATGATAGCCACTTGACCCACAACTTGGGTGTCTCTGACACAAAGCATCTCAAGTAGGTCTCCAAGCTTCTATTAACCACTTCTGTTTGGCCATATGTCTGTGGATGGTAAGCGGTGCTCCTCTTCAGGACTGTCCCCTGCAACCTGAATAATTCCCTCCAAACATGACTAAGGAACACCTTATCTCTATGTGACACGATTGCCTCTGGTACCCCATGCAATCTGACCACCTCTCTGATGAAAGTTAAAGCCACTGTCACCACAGTGTAAGGATGTCGGAGGGGAATAAAATGAGCGTACTTGCTCAATCTATTCACCACCATCAGAATCACCGTGAAGCCTTCTGAACGAGGCAACCCATCTATGAAGTCCATAGATATTTCCTCCCATACTCATCCTGGTAATGCCAATGGATGTAGTAGTCCCCCTGGTGACATAGCCAGGTATTTGTTCCTCTAACAGATCTCACACCTTGCCACCATCTCTTCC